AATGTTCCTATAAGAGTTGTCGATCTTTATAGCTTTGAGAGCTTAGCATTAGTTAAAAAATTCAAACAAGATTTGGCGAGACTTATATACAAAATTCAATATGCCATAGAGGGAAAACTCAAAGAAGGTGAATACTCGAAATTATGGAACAAGATACTTCAGAAAATTATTGACTATATGAATAATAATAAAACTCGATTAATAGACATGTTACCATCATATGCAATGTCATTGGGAGAAGTAATACCTAAAGTATCTACTAAACCTAAAAGACCTATTGGAAAGGATGAATCACTATTACAGAAGAGGCTCATAGTAAGATATCTATTAAAACCCGGTAAGCTAGAAGGAGGGCATATGTATAGAAAAACTAACCTGTGGTAGTTATTGCGTATCTATAAAATCAAAAAAGTTATTGTTGGTAAAAATCCACCATAGCCAGTCTTATACTATCTTGAGGATGAGCCAATTGATTCAACTAAACATTTAATAGGTCGTAATCCCAAAAGACCTTTTAAGAGAGAGGAGCTCCAAGTAATCAAGAATCCTGAAAAGGTTGAGTACCCACCTGATGAGTTTATACAAAAATATCACCCCTCTGGATCAATACATTTCATTTGTGTTTCTAATAATGAATTTGACAAGGCACAACGATATGCTGGAAGACGTGGTGAAAGTATCTTAGCTAAAACTGGGCAAATAAATAATCAGAATGTATTCCTCTGGACTTGTGAAAATAGACTGTATCAGTTTGAGTACTCATTTCCATTGATTGCAACAAAATTTGAGTAGTGTCCACTTTGTTTTCACAATAAGAATGAGTGATGCTGTAGATATATTTTTGAGGATTTATTAGATAAGAAGTTCCCACCATGTTCAGATAAATTTTTAGGTAGACTCAGACTTGATGGATATAACGAGGAATTACGCCTGGCATGGAAGTATCAAGGAGTACAACACTATCATCAGAATGCAATGTTCCACAAGCGAGGTCAAATTGATTTGGATAAGCAAAAG